AGACTCGGTGCGTTCTACATAGTCGCCCTGACAACAAGAACAAGTTGCGACAACGAGGTCAACCCACTTCTATCCATCCTTAACTCACCATAAGCAACCTAAGCTTAATGAGCCCCTTTACAAGAGGTCTCGAAATCTACTAACATCAAAAACAGCAGAATACATGACGAAACCTGGAAGTCAGTCTGAAAAAAGGACAAGATTAAAACATCAAAGTGAACACAACACTAAAATTTGCTGAGTTGCATAAGATATAAAACCTGTTTATTTGCTTTTAATATCCTTCTCCATGCCTACCTGGCGTTGTGGTCCCCTGGGATTGGCGAGCCAACGATGCGCCTGGGCTAACTTGCCCTCGAGTGTCCTGGCCGGCCGATTCACCTGTCCGTGGTGCTCCTGTCGGGTGGCTAGGGCGGTGCAAAGATGGGCCAGATTGAAGAGTTTATTGCTGCAAGACGCAACTAGAGACCGCGCAGCCGGACAGTCTCCCTGGCACATCGGCAAAGCAGGAGCAAGGTGTCGGGGATATGAACAATTGTGGAGCAAGGTGAATGGGAAATGGCAGAGTGAGAGAGTGTGTGATTGGCGGATGCAAAATGCAGAAGTTCTGAATTGGTGTGAGAAGAGATTTTGGTTGAATGAAACCGTGGACGGCAAAGTGAACAAAATTGTGCGCTTGCACAACGGCAAATGAAGCGGCATAATGTGAGTCATTGATGGTGTGTTTGATGGGACCAGAGAGAATGGAATAGGCTAATCAACGCATGTTTATCATAATAGCATAAGTAGCATATAATAATGAATAATTGCTATGCAAAAATTACTTACAGAATCGAAGCCTACTTATATAAAATATAAGTAACTTAGTCGATTGCAATGAGAAACAAACGTTTGTTTAATCGACAATCCCAATAAACACAGACACCTGTAGCCGTGGAGTGATAACGTCACCGCGATACTCACTACCCGACCGGTGGGAGTGATGGTAAGACGGTGAGACAAGGTAGAAACTGTAGTGTATCTTGGATGAGATGACATTTTTGCAAGCAAGACAGTGAGATTCATTTGCGTCCTGAGGACTATTCATGTGGTTGTAGGGAAAGTAGATTTTCGAGATTACCGCTGAAACAATGAAGCCTACTTATAAACGAAAATTAAGTAATTTGAAGATGTGAAGACCAAGATGTTGTGGCCTCGGGTATGGTCCACGGTCGGATGCTAGGAATCAAGACAACTATTATGGCAGACGACTTCGGACTCGGTGCGTTCTACATAGTCT